TGTTGGGTTGACGGTTGGACTCGATGATCTTAGACGTCTTTTCCAACCTTAATGATTCTATGAATTCTATGAATTCTATATTTCCAGCAAAATATCCCTGTATAAAAAGAGGAAGCATAAAGAAATATTCTGCAGGAACAAACCTTACTGGTCTACACTATCAATACTGGACAGGTATGTTAAAGCATATCATAAAAACATATTTTTCCCCCACCTTGGATTTTAGGGGGCAGGAAATTCCACAGCAGTTGAAAAGAAGAGAAGCTGACTGTGATGGATATGAATGATAGCTCTTCTCCATGACTTGGAGTAAAATGGTATTATTCTCTGTGGTCATTAGAAAGCATAAACAGCCAAGCAAGTCATTTAGACATTTTTGTAATGTTTTCTTTCTTTCTCTCTTTCTTAGCAAATGGGGAGGAGGAATGGGTAAAGGCAGGTCAGAAAGTATTAAAAAGGGCATTGATGTCTTCCAGAAAGTGAACTAACTTAATTCTTTCATTTTAAAAAAAAAGGAAAAACTGTGCAGTTTTGTTTATTCATTGCTCTGGATTAACCCTTTTTAAAGACTTCTGTCTTTTAAAATCCTTCCTGCGCAAACCACATGCTGCTTCATGAGCTCCCTGGGAGTTACTGAACCATGGGTGCCCTCGCAGCCACACTGCGGTCCCCACTGTCAGGGACAAGCCCAGGGAAACTCCGACGGCTGCCAGGTGCTTGGAAGTGGGTGCTCCATACTGCCTCTTCCCTCCCGCCTCCATTTTCTGCTTGTCTCTGCAATGATTGCTAACACTTGAATGAATCATTTATAACTCAGATACTTCTGGCGGTGCTGCCTGAAGAAGGACAAGTGCTTCTCCCGAATAATTCCTAATGGAAGCTTTTTTGGAAATGGGGATCATTATTCACACGTAGCTCCTCTCTTGGGTGTTGCAGGCACACATAGATGGCTCTTGTTAGAGGACAAGTGCAAAGTTTAGGTCAGCAGTTTCCCACTCGTCATTTGCAGGCAACTCTCTCGCACTCCTTTTTGTCTCTCGTATTTTCTTACTGCAAACGTGTGTTTCTTTTAAGTTGCTGGCACCTGGTCTCTGGCTTTGACACACGACTCCTCACAAGGGCTGCTGTGACAATCACGGGAATATCCCATCCCCCAAGGATTGATTTCCCCTTGCTCCTTTGTATAACGGCTGCAGTTTCTCTCCGCAGAAGTCATGCGGGATGATGAGGTGACCAAACGTTCCTCCTGGCACTACCCAGGGACCAACTCACATGCATTGCAACGATGCCACCCAGCCTCGACGCTGCTCATGTACCAAGAGCATAGGAGCATCACCAGCATTTCTCATCTCTGTGGGCCCAGTAATAAAAGCTAGAGACCTTGACTTTCTTTTTCACTTTATTTGCTTTCCAAAGAAAATGAGTTTCTCTTCCACAGGTTTTAGTTTTATAGGAGCTGTAAGAAGAGTGTTAAGTGTGACTGAAGACATTATCTAACTTTATGGCTTGTTGTGAAGCATCAACTCAGTTGGAAAGCTTTGCTGTTCCTTTCTGAAATGAGACTGCTATGTAAATTCCTCTCTAACCCCTATCACGCATATTTGTTAGTGCCACATTTAGAGTGCTTTCCACTGTACTTTGCACAGATGCTTTTATGGCCGCTGGCTGGTTTGGGGTCTTTTTTTATGTCTAAATCAATTTAACATTCCAAAAAGAAGAAACAGACATCTCAAGCAGCTTTAAAGATGCTAAGCCAGCATTTGCTTTCTAAACTGAATGCTTCCCTAGAGGCATGTGTCAACTCTGCTTTGTTTCATCTCATAAATTTAACCTAGCAAGGCAAACATAGTTAAATCAGCTTGTTAATTTACTTATTTTTAATGGATGAGTCCATTTAATGGCAAAATACAGAGAATAAATCATTAGAGCTTTTGTTTTCCTTTGTTTATAATATCCCAGCATTATAAAGAAAATAAAATTATAAAAGAAAAAGACTCATGCAGTAGCTGGAGAAAAAGATTTATTTATTTTAGTTCTCTTATTTCTGAAAATAATTTTGTTAGGAACATATGAGTAGGTGGGGGAAAGAACTAAAGGAACTATCTTTATTTTATGAACAAGGTTGAACTTGCTACATTCTGCTCTTAGGGAGTGGGAGTTATTAACAGCTGTTATAGAAAATGTTGAATTTTGATCACAAATATTATTTATTAAAGCTTCACTATTTTATTTCACGGGCCTCATTTTGTGGCACTGCAAAACGGATAATGTGCTCAGAACCTGTGCAAAAAGCAGATGCTGGGAAACAGAGTGTGGAGCTTTAGTGCAAATTGAGGGAGGCACAGGGGAATTGTCCTGAGAGGTACAGAGCTCCATGCAACTTGGTAAAGTGCTTAAAACCTATAGAGGTACCCATGTAAAACCAAAACAAATTTTGGCTCATCCAAACTGTTTGCTTGCCATTAAAAAAAAGTTCTGTTTTTCCTTATGTTTCATTTTTCATTCTATCATGTGCTTTGCTGTTAGAAAACACCATGACCAATATGATCTAGAAGAGCACTTTAATCACATGCTCATTGTCTAGTGCAAAAGTGTCTCAATGAACATCACCGAATTTATATCAATATCCACATCCAGCCATAGTTTGCTTATTTCTCTAAAATTAACCTAGAGAGCTGGCAGGCTGGTTAAACATAGATGTTACTTGCCAAGCTACAGAACGATAAAAGGCAGACCACGGAATAAATCTGAATTCATGCTGTGGCTTTCCTGGTTGACCACTGGATAATTGAATGCAGCTGAATAATAGTTAACCACCAAGGGACCAAGATTTGATACAGCATTCTCTGGAGCTTGTTGCACTGAGATCTGCCTGACACACTAACCTCTGTGTTTGTGGGGGCTGTTAATTGTCCCACATTATACCAATTAACATAATCTCTTCTTTCCAGCACTCATCACTACATGAAGCCTTGTAAAGTGACACTAGATCAGATTCTCTTCGAGTTTTTTCCCTTCTATCCCTAAATATAATTGCTTGCCTTTCCTGTTTAATAAACCTCAATACTTCCACAAGAAAAAATGTCTAATTTGTCAGCGTGCCAGGAAAAGGGGCATAACAGAGCAGAAAGTTCAGCCAAGAAAGTGCCTGAGGAAGTGACGTTAATTGTGCTGGGTAAAGATGGGCTGTGTCAGTACCTGCATTCAACTTCAAGGAGAGAATGAAAACCCGGTAGTTGAAAGAAAGACTAGTAAGCTTTCACATCCTGATTCATAGTAAATTAGTCTTCCCTATGTAATAATGATATGAATTTACTCTCAAAGTGCTGACTATTTAAAGGCAAGGGAATATAGCAAGGACTGTTTTTTCCCCCACTTCTTGAGACCTTGGTTTCTTGCACAGCCTGACTGAAGTCTCTAGTATAAAAAAGGACCAAAGTTCTGTATTTCCTGCATCAACCGAGTATATTTACTGGTTAGCTCTCCCATGCTGAACCCCATGAGAAATCCTTTCACAAAGAACTCAGTAAGGAGTGGCAGCACCTCCTGCAGATAGAAGAGAAGATTCAGAAAGGTTTATGTAAACTCATTGGCAGAGAGCAGCAGGCAAAATAGGTGTGTGGTTTTTTCTTTCACATTTTTAAGTTTAAAAATATAGAAATTTAAAAGTAAGGAATGTAATGAGATGGCGTTCATATTGTCAGCCTTGAATTAGGTGGCAGGGATCATAATTCATTGGATGACCAGCTTGTAAGGACAATGGGTCTTAACACTACTTTGTCTAAATCTGTCAGTAATCTAGCCAGTCATCGCAGACAAGATATCCTTCTTACCTGACTGAGAATCCGACCACATTTCTTTCCGATTTTTTCCACCAAATCAAAGATTGGGAAGTTCCAACTATTTAGCTGCTCCATCAGGGGATCCAAGTTGTCCATAACCAGAGGCTCAGGAGCAAGTACAGGCTTGTCCTATGCCAGAAATCAGAATAAAGAGAAATTTTAGTTCTGTGAAGCATCTCATGCGAAAATTTATGCTCTTAAAAATGAAGGTCACATTAGCATCATCTGTAAGCCAATGGTACTTGACTCAGCTCAGCGGAGATGTCCCCATTTTTACCAGCCCTGCAGCTAGTCACTCTCCTTTATAATTTGTTTCACTTGAATGAATAGGAAATTCTGCATAGGAAACATCAGTCTCTGAACTTATCCATGAGACACATTCATTTGTTCATTCATGGGAATCATCCATTCATTTCCAGGGGAGTCTCTCTTCTTCATTCTAAAATTTGCTGCAGTACAGAGGGAAAAGTGTTCAGGTTCTGCTTCCACATCAGGACCCATTTGTTATAATCTAACATGGCTAATGGAGTTCAGTCCAAGTGAAGACTTGTACTTCCTAAACTGAAACCTACCGATTTTTCAAGGTCTACAAATAGAAGATGGGGTGTGCCCCTCCTTTTACATTTCTCCCTGTATACTTCCTTGAATTTCATTATTACTAAGAAACTGTAGATGAGTAAATGCCAAAATATCTCAAGAAAAACGCCTTCTCTCAGCATGTCCAACTCCAATTCAACAGATTACAATAAATTTTTCAAGAGCTCATACCAACTTAAATTTATTAACTCAGTTCTACAGCAGGCTGTGGAAAATTTAACCAAACAAAGCTTTCCCTCTACATCTCAATCAAGCTTACAGCTGAATACAGTAGTCGTGAGAAGGTCAGCACTTGTTCACCATACTGCAATGTTCTTATGTTCAGGACATACACCAATAATAATATCATGCAGCACCCTCAGACAAGTGTTAATTTATTTTAAAATAAGGACCACTGTATATATTATTGCAAGGCCACTGAGAAGCTGAATTGGCTGAACAGGAAGACTATATATCATGCTAGCAGTCTGAGAAGATAATTTCTCTTCCTTCCAATCTATTCCCTTTAAAGGCAACGCTAACACAGAAGCCAAATGTTTCAGAAATGCCTAATGCCAGATCCATAAACTTATATTTCTTCATCAAGATAGATGGTTAGTGTTTCACAAGTGGCCAGTGCTTAGCAGCTGTCACACATTTCAATGGTTCCTTTCAATTCTTGAAAGTCAATCCTTCTACTGCAAGGTAGCAGCCTGCTGCAATTGTTGCTTAAAACCATGGTCACAATCTTTAGACAGCCCTAGGGTTTTTTTTTTTTGTGGGGGTTTGGGTTTTTTCGTTGGTTTGTTTTTTGTTGTTGTTTGGTTTTTTCCCCAGTGTCAGGATACATTCAGTCTGTTCTGCGAGTGGAACTTGAACAAGCTACCTCAGGTGGTATTAAGGGATGCAGAATGATGGTCTCCGGCATGTACGTCCTACAGACAGATCCCTTCCGCATCTGCTCTTTGGAGCAATCTGTCTCATCATCATTTTGTACGATATCACTGCTGTCACTGTTGTTGGTCTCATAGTCAGAAGTGGCTTGCGCAGGATCATCTACAACACAAATCACAAAACTTGTGTGAACAGCAAGGATTGCATCAAAGTCATCCTGTGACCTTCTGAATAATAGCAACAGGATCTCTGACTCATAATACATATGTGCTGCTTGGCTGGGTCCAAAGTCGGACAATCTGTCCAAAAGCATTAAAGCATATACCCTGCAGAGTGCAAAAAACGGGATCAGGGATTGAAGAGTGAGAAAAATTTTGAGGACCGTTATTTGAGCTGACTAGGTTAGATGAGGAAAACCATATTTCCTTTATATTTTAACTCTATTCGTCATTAGCATTTTGCACATGTTGTACATACAAAAAATAAAGGAGCCTCAAAGACGATTTGTATGGTCTCAGCTACGTATGTTCTCTTTTTATGACAGACAGTGAATGATTATTGAATTTTAAGGGATGAGGAGTTTTTGATGGACAAAGAATTACCTGTTCTGTTCAAGGTGTGTGTGGTACCATCAGTTCTATCTAGTGTCCGATCACCAGCTTCTATTTGGTTATAGGGCCTGCCACAGCTGAAATACATCAAGAAACATGCACAATATAAAGAACCATGCACATTAGACAGTCTTATGTAAAATAT